TTCATCGCTGCAAAACTGTTAGGTCTGAGAGAGTCTGCAGTTGGTGAGGAATTAAGTCCTATGATATAATAATAATCCTTTCATTTGATATAGCACCTTATCACATCTTCGAGTGCAGGATATACTGTAAAGTAAATTGACTGTATATTTTGTGGGCGAAACAGGGCAGCCAATTGCACACAGCAGCGTCCCACAAACAGTCATGGATTGAGTGACCAATTTTTTTAAGGGTCAGCCTTTTAATAATAATAATAATAATCCTTGCATTTGATATAGCGCTTTTCACGTCGGGAGGTCGTCCCAAAGCGCTTCACAGAACACACTGTAAAGTGAATTGACTGTATATTTGTGGGCGAACGCGGCAGCCAATTGCGCACAGCAATGTCCCACAAACAGTCGTAGATTGAAAATGACCAATTTATTATTGTTTTGGGTTTTGGAGGGATTATTATTAGGCTCTGTGTGGAGTAAGGAAACTTGCCCAAGGTTTCGCCCTCTGCCTGGAATTTAGAACAGAGTTGAGGAAACATTTCTTCATTCAGTGAATTTATGGAATTCACTACCCCAGAAGGCTGTAGATGTCAGTCCTTGAACATCTTCAAGGCTGAGACTGATAGATTTTTAAAAAACAGAGGGATTAGAGGATATGGGGACAGGGCAGATAATTAGAGTTAGGTCTGAAAATCAGCCGTGATCTTATCGAATGGCGCGGCACAGGCTCGAGGGGCCGAATGGCCCACTCCTGCTCCTAACTCTTATGTTCTTATGTTCTTAATGGATATAATTTTTTAAGGGATTATTACCTCCGGAAAAGCGATTGGCCAATTAACGAACAGCCAGGTTCCTATTTACTGCTTGGTAAACAGAGGCGTGTGCGGAGAGTAAAGAAACTTGCCCAATCTTTCACCCTGACCCAGGAATTGAACCCAGGTCCTCTTGCTTGCGAGGTGAGCCGGCTAAGCACTATGTACACTACATACAGGTCTCGTAGAGAGAAACAGTGCAATGGATTTCCCGATTTTGATCTATCAGGTTTCAGAACAAGTTATTAATTATAGTGCAGGAAAGCTGCAATGTGTATCTGGAAATAAGCAGATTCGACACTGGATATTGGAATGGGGACAGGGGAGATTTGTAACCAAAAGAGGTGGGAGAGATGGGACGGCTTTGATATCCGTCCCTCAGATTGAAAGTGAAATTGGATGAGTCCGGGGCTGCGGATTATCAGGATTAAAGAATTACACGGACTGTAACTCACATGAGATTTGCTCCTAAAATTGGATTGACGAATGTCGGAGATGGAGAATGAAAGAGCAGAAAGGTTACGTATGGTGTGTGTGTGTGTACATGTAATAAGGGCGAAACCTTAGCCAAGTTTCCTTACTCCGCACACACGCTCCTCTGTTTATCGAGCAGCAATTAGGAACCGGTTGTTAGTCGATAGGCGGATCGTTTTCCTGGGGATAATAACCCCTTCAAATAAATAAATAAATAAATAAATAATTTGTCAGCCGGTCCACGACTGTTTGTGGGACTCTGTTGTGTGCAATTGGCTGCCGCGTATCACCCACAACACTGGCCAGTGAGAGTATTGAGGGCGACGGAGAAAGAGTTGAGGAAATGGGATTAAAAGATTTTCTGTGATCTCGGATAATAGAAAGTCATGATTGACAGACTGAGTGGCCTCCTCCTGTTCCTTTGTTGTGACACTTTACTTCCAGTAAAGCTGCTGTGCGCGCGTGTGTGGGGGGGGGGGGGGGGGGGAGAGGTTGATAGATTAATAATAATAATAATTGCATTTGATACAGCGCCTTGTCACGTCTTTGAGAAGTCTGAACACGCTTCACAGTATATCCTGCAAAGTGGATTGACTGTATATTTTGTGGGCGAAACGCGGCAGCCGATTGTGCACAGCAGCGTCCCCACAAACAACCGTGGATTGAAGTGACCAAATTATTATTTTTTCAATTAGGTTTTTTGAAGGGATGTAGCGCCTTTTAGGTCAGGACCTCTGAAAGTATGAAAGTTGAATCAGAAGCATTGTGGCGCTGTATCCCTTAGTGCCTTTTAAAGCGACATTATAATGGTAACAGAATCACTATTGGGTTTATTCTGGTGGAATTACTGTGAAAGCTTGCACATTCAGAACTAATCTAATGAGAGTGGACTGCTGTAAGTATTACTGTTCAGTTCACTGATGGGTTATCACGGGGGATTAATGATGTGCATTAAAATGGATGAAAAGCAACGGTGTAATTGTGGTGATGAGGAATTGTGTGAGAGTGTGTGTGTATGAGCGTGTGTTCCTGGGATGTTCTGACTGATCTGTGTGTTTGGATGGTAAACCTATTAGCTGTTGTAATCCATCAGGCTTTTCTGACCAAATAACTCCAACTGCAGATTTTAATGCTTTCGTCCGTTCAAATCAAATTGAATGAGATGCCGTCTATTCATTCCCACTGTACAAAGACCCAATGGACCATCCTCCCGTTCCCCAACAGACTAGACAATTTCCCCATCCACTCCTATTAGCTTAATCAGACAAAATGATGTGGAGAAACAGAGAGAGAGAAGGAAACAGGGAGAGGAGGAAGTAGAGAGAGAAGGAAGGCAGGAATAACAGTTTGATATAACGCTTTATCACGTCGTTGAGGATATCCTGTCAAGTGCATTGATTGCGTATTTTGTGCATGAACACGGCAGCCAATTGTGCACAGCAGTGTCCCAAAGGAGAGAGAGTAGCAAGTAGTAGAGAGAGAGAGAGAGAAGGGAGTAGTAGAGAGAGAGAGAAAGACATGAAGGAAGTATTAGAGCGAGAGAGAAGACATAGAATTGGGTTTGGGGTAAAATAAGAATTGTTTTTTTGAGCCTTTTATTCAAAGAGAAACAAATTCCACAGAGTGGCTCTGTTGGAACCGGCAACATCAACAACTCTCGATGTGTTGTTGTGGACCTGAGCTCATTATAAAGCTCTCATTGTCTGAGCAAGAATTTCTCCAAATGCCAGATGTCAGTGTTGTTGTGCAAGTCCGTTCAAAGACGAGCTGTGGGTGTTCCCTGGTGACGTAAAGAGACAACAGCCCCCCTCCCACCTCCCTCCGCCACCCCCCCCCTCCCGCACCACCACCACCTCCTGCATCCGCGTGGCATGCCCCCGCCAGCGCGGAAATGCCAGATTACGGGACCGCCAAATGGAAACCCGGAAGCGAGACTGTCCAGTGTGGCGTTTGTTCAGGGCAGTGTGGGTCACTCGCTGTGTAACTGGAGTCGCTGTTTACTCGCTGCCCTGCCATGAAAGGCGTTATATAAATTCAAGTTGTTGTTGTTGTTATTCAGCCCAGTAACAGTCACTCACTGTGTAACCACAATAACAATAATAATTCTTGCATTTGATGCAGTGCCTTATCACATCTTCGAGACGCCTCAAAGCGCTTCACAGAGAAGTATTGACTGTGAATTTTGTGGGCAAACCGTGGCAGCCAATTGCGCGCAGCAGCGTCGCACACGCAGTCGTGGATTGAGTGACCAAATTATTATTATTTTTGGTGGGATTATTACCCCCGGAAAGCAATCCACCAATCGACTCACAACCGGGTTTCTACTTACCACTAGGTAAACAGAGGCATGTGTGCGGAGTGAGGAAACTTGCCTTAGGTTTGACCCTGCCCAGGAGCCGAACCCAGGTCCTCTCGCTTGCGAGACGAGTGCTCTAACCACTGAGCTACAGAACTCCACGTGTGTAACTTTTTGAGTCGCTTTTTATTCAGCACAGTGTGGGGTGGGGGGTCTCTCGTTGTGTAATGTACAGTCTCTGAGCACACATTGTCACAGTCTGTGCAGTAGTAAGGAGTGGTTGAAGAACAATTCGCAGTGAAACCTACGGGTTACCTCTTCACTGAGCGCTGAAAGAATCCATCCTTTCTTTGGCTTGGAACCCCCTTTTTGCCGTGAGATGTTTGTGTGGGATCGGGTTCTGCTCAACACAAACTCGGCCTTTGTGCGGCTGAATTCCTAACCTCATTCACACTTCACATCTCGCTGTTTTTCCAGGAAGTGTAAGGCGGGAATGTTACATTACATTTAAAGCCATATCCTCCCTCTCCCCACGTTTTTGGCTCGTAATAATCCTTTCATTTCGTACCAAATGTCTCAACGGACTCTATGGATAATTGCTGGGACTCTGTATTTTGTAGGCAGACACAGAATTGTCTGCAGTAATGGCCCACAAAAATAACCAATGGAGCAAATGACCAATTTTCCCTGGGGGCGATTGATGGCCAGGACACTGGGAGAAATTCTTTTTTTCCAAGGATTATTATTATGATTCTGGGTGTCATTTTGGATGTTGAGAAGGTGAGATCTTATCAGAGACTGTAACTCCCAGTGTGGGGGTGAAGGTTCACTGGTTCTCTCTGTCACTCTACATCATGTGTGGGTTTAAGAACTGACAAATAGTGCTCGAGATTTCAATATTAGCCTCAAGATCATTGTCTCAAAATGTGAGTCGGTGAGATTGATTTAGGATGAAGAAGGCCCTTTGGCCCCTCCGATCTCACTCCCTCCAACATCTTGTGGAACGCTGAACGCTCTTTATTCAGTCTTCGTTTGGAAGACGGTTTTCCCGAACTGTGAAGTTGACCCTCAGCTGCGGGTCAAAGGTCCGTGACATCCCCCAGGATTAATTCACTGGTTCCCATGGAAACTTCTTCCCAGGGACCCTTTCAGTGTCCTGACAGCCAGGTGTGCTCATTGGTTGGATGCTCTCCGATTGATTGCTCTTCCCCTCTCCTCGCCCCCCCACCCATCACCTCACGATGGTTGAGTCCAGTTATTTCCCCCCCCCAGGGGAATAACTGGACTCAACCACTGTGAGGTTGGGGGCTGGAGGGAGAACAATCAGGTGCGAGGATGGAGAATGCAGGCGGCGCAGGTGGAGTGTTGGAAGAAGCTTTGCCTTTAATCAATGAAACCTCTTCAATCCTGGCCTGTGTTCTCCGCAGGGTGGCTGACCCCAGGAGCCAGCGTGTCGGAGAGGAACAAGGCAGAGCCGGGCACGGGACTGTAGGACATCTGTTGCTCTCTGCTTCTTCCCAGTTCAGGTGAGTGAACTCTGGGCAGTTGTATGTTGTTCCCCCCCGCCCTGCCCCGCCACCGTCCCCCCGCTTTTCCCCACCCCCAACCCCCTTACACTTCATACAAGCTCATGGCTAGAACGGAAAGATAAGATACCGAGTGAATTTCCTTTGTGAGGATTAGAAATAAATCCTGGCCGGTGGGTCAGCCGGGACTGTGAGCACAAAGTCCCCAATTTGGGGTTCGAACCCACAACCTTGTGGCCCAGAGACGAGAGTGCAAACGACTGACCATCACAGTATCAGCTGCAAACTAAACTACACTTGATGAATGCCAAGCTCCCCCCTCTCTTTCTCCCCCCCCCCCCCACCCCTCCAGCTTACTCACTGTAACTAATGTTCCTTTTGCACCGAGAGTGAGACAATGAATAAAAGATGGTTCCCCCTCTCTGAATGGGCGGAGGATGTGACAAGGATTGAAGGGGGAGCTGGACGTTTGCTCAGTCTCCTGGCCGGGGTGATTGACAGGCTAGATGTCTGGGTGTCTGTGTCGGGGAGACAGATGGAAGTCTGAGTGAAGAGCGGAGGCAACAATGACCCCCAAAGCCCGTGTTATCCTGGCTTCATTGTGTCCATGCCAAGACCCCAGACCAGACAGTGGGCTGCCTGGCAGCTCTTTAGCTGTGTCCTTCCTTTCTTTCTGTGATTAAACCTGTTATTTCTTCCCCCCCGCATCCCCACCCCCGTCCCTCACCCCCCACCCCTTCCCTTCCCGCACCTCTTCCTCCAAAGTGGAAGAAGTCAGTGGCTCCCAACGCTGGGCTGTGTGTTACTGGATCTGCAGAGTTCAGATAATAATAATAATAATCTTTGACACATCGCCTTATCATGTCTTCGAGACGTCTCAAAGCACTTCACAGGATATACTGTAAAGTGTAGTGACCGTATGTTTGTTTTGTGGGTGAAACGCCCTCCAGGTTCGGGTCACCAACACAAGGTGGGTGGGTGGGGAGGGGGGGGGGTTAGGTCTGGCCGTACCACAGAGCCAGAGCAGGGGACGGTGACAAGGATGATTCTCCGCCCCCCCCCCACCCAGTTTTTTAGAGAGATAAACTCCGAGGACAACAGTCAGTGACTTGGTTCGATGGTAAATGGTAATGTTGTGTGTGATTCGCAGGTGATTGTGCGAGGAGGAGACCCGGGGCTCAGCTGGTGGTAGACTTGGCTTCCCAGTCGGGGCAGGAGCAGCGACCAGACTGACAATGCTGCCGAGGGGAGGGGGCCTGCGGCTGGCCAGGCTGGGTTTCCTGGTGTGTCTGTGCCACCTGCTCTCAGCGATTGAAGTCCCCCTCGACCGTAAGTGTCAGTGGAGATGACCCCCCCCCCAACCCAAGCCTCCCTCCCCCTCTCCCCCCCCCAGTACTGGGCTGTGAATTTCGGCGCTCGGAGACACTACCCTGGCGTGAAGGGCTCTATGTAAACCCAAGTTGTTGTTACTTTTGGATGTGGATGGGATTAACATGAGAGAGGGAGCCTGTATTGTGGATTAATACAACAACAACAACGACAACTTGCACTTATATAGCGCACTTCAGGCCGGGCGGGGTCTCGGAGCGACTTAAAACTCTATTAATATTAATGAATTAGAAAGAGAACTTCCCAGTTGGGGGACATTGACCTGCTCAGTGCTCGCCCTACGCCACAGTCAGGAATGTGCAGGATTGCCTTTGATATCCCGGATGTTTTGACTCCGATCCAATTAAATGTGTCACTCGTTACGATGTGTTTGGTGGAGGACGGGACGGGGAGAGATGGGGGGAGGGGAAGGGGATTATTCTCTGATTGAGGTCTGACGTTTCCTCGAAGCCCTCTCCCAGGAGATCTGCCCTGTCGAGTCCCGGCGCTGACACTCACGTTGATGGAGATAATTGCGCTTTAATTCCACTGAATTCACTGCAGATTTCTGCCTTAAACTGATGCGATAATGGACGTTTCTATTGGATTTGCTTCCAATTTTCTGCATGAGGGGTTTCTCTCCAGTTCGGTGTTGATAACAATTAGCTTTCTAATTTACACCCCAAATTAGAGGGAGGGTATGTGTGCATGTCGGGTTGGGGTGGGGTGGGGGGGGTGGTGTAATATATTTTACATTCAATGCACATGTTCTGGAGCAAGTGGCTCTCAGTTTGGCATTTAAAGTGCAAACTGCCATTCTCTGTCTCTATCGAGGCAGTGATGATGCACGTGTTTGTGTGTGGCACACGGTGTGTGTGTGTGTTTGTGTACATCCTTATGTGTGTGCGTGTTTGTATTTGTGCGCGCGTGTGTGTATGTATTTGTGCGCCGTGTGTATATGTATTTGTGCGCGCATGTGTGTATGTATCTGTGCGTGCGTGTGTGTATGCACTTGTGTGTATGCATTTGTGTGTGCTTCTGTTTTTCCATTTGCGTGTGCATATGTTAAGCGCTCCGAGACACATGAAGGGTGACGTTGTAGATGCATATAACCCTGTACGTCTCACTGCTGAAGTAGCAAGCACACGGAGTGTTTCTGGAAACCTCAAAATCCTAACGGATTGGGTTTTGGGTGGATTAATTAATTTATTTTCCTCGTTGGATTTTGCTGGTCATGAGACTCACTCTCTCACTCAACCTAGTTGGGTGTCGGTGTTGTTAGTGTGTCAGTAACACCCTCGGTACGGTTCCTAAACCCTGGATCAAAGTCTTCTTTGTCAGGTCTGTGTTCGTACATTTTACAGATTGCTTCCTTCCCAAACTAACCCGATTTCCTCACCTCTGTTTTGCCTGCAATTCGCTAACAATGGGATAATAGCAAACCTTCAGAGACAACGTAAGTTACCGCCCTTGCCGTTGGTTTGATCGTGCCTTTGTGGCGAGATTCGGTGCTTTGGTGGGTGCGCAGCTCCCCTCGGCTCGCTTGTCTCTGGTTCAGCCAAGAACATGGTGATCTGTAGGAGGATGGGTCCAGGGTCAGTGCTTCCTGGCAAACCAGAGTCAGAGTGGCTGGGAGATATTGACTGGAGTTTCACAGGGTTGGTTTAGGTGACTGTCAGGGCGATTTGCCGCTCCTGCTTTGTACCTTGGTCAGAAAACTGTGGAGTATCTTAATGCTGTGTCAGCAGGACAAGACATTGTTGGGCTGCTTTTAACCATCTGAACTTATTCCTGCAACAACCAGCCTTGTCCTGCTCAGTCTTGCTCAACTGCTAGGCTGGAGTGTTGACCAACACACACGTACACACACACACAAAACCCAGAGCGATGCCACAGTAGCTTAACCTGCCAAGTAATTCTTTAATCTGCTGTGAACACCACTCACTCAGGATCTGTGTGTTTCAATTTCCCATTAATCGCATCACTCCAAAGTACCCCTTACTTGCTGCTCTGATCTGTTTCCGTACGGGGCAGACCCCCGGCTGACCACCCCCACCCCCCCACCACCAAAAAAAATAAACTTTCACACTTCACAACGGTATAAAAAATATCACTTTATAGTAATATTCTGTGAAGAGCTCGAAGACCTGATGAGGCACTATAAGGCCCTACAGTCAAATGCACGGATTATTATTATATTAGAAACTCAATGACACTTTCTTTAACATTGAGAAATCCTGCGAGTTAGACCCTGATGTGACTTTATGGTCCAGTCTGATGCTAAGGTGCTGATGGCAGGCAGGTTTCCCTGGGTGTTAGCCTCTCAAAGTGTTCCCCCAACCGGTACATGTTAATCCTTTACAACCACCTCCCTCTGGAGATCGATTCCCTCTGTGATGTTCGTCGTGATCGATTTGTCAATCTGCTTTTACCTCGCGTATCTGCTGGGGCTCAGCGGGGAGTTAACCCAACGTTGCTCTCCAGAGATGGTTGAGCCATCGCAAATGTGTTAGTTTCTATTAGTGTGGATCTGAGGGGCTCACCATGAGGGTTAGTTAAACCCTGGCTGATCCGACTGCCTGCTGCGTGCATGCAACCACCTGGTATCTTCCCCCCCACCCCTCTCGGTGCTTGGCTGTGCTCTGCATGCCAATACCATCTGTGTCTCCTTAGACTTCTCTCGCATCTCCTGATATTATTTACCCAGCGAGGGTGCGTGATTCAGCCCCAATGCGCGCCAGGAGTTTCTACCCTGGCCTCCGTCTCAGACCTCGCCGCGTCGCAAAGCATGACACAAACGTAACATCGTGTTGTTGTTGTTGTTGTCTCTCTCTCGATGGGTCGATTCTGCAGTGGCCCAGCCACCCACCATCACCAAACAGGCCCCCAAGGACTATATTGTGGATCCACGAGACAATGTGGTCATCGACTGCGAGGGCAAAGGGAACCCGAGACCCACGTAGGTAGCTCCCCCCCCCCACTCTCTTTCTCCCCCTCTCTCTCTCTCTCTCTCTCTCTCGCTCGCTCGCTCGCTTACGTAATGACCCCCTTGGAGGCATGCAAGGAGGGTTATCCTCAGGAGATCCTCATCCCAAGCAAAGCGCTGTCTAACACAAAACAGAAGAGGGGTTCCTCAACGACCAGATTAACTCAACAATCCCCCAAATAAAACTGGTCGTCTTACTTTCATGGCTGTTTGCCATGACACTGCTGTGCGCAATCGGCTGCCGTGTTTTGCCCGCAAAATACACATCCAATCCACTTCACGGTCTATTCTGTGACAAGCCGCGATATCAAATGCAAGGATTATTATCGTTATTATTATATATTATATTGTACTAGATTATAAACTGGCTGCCGCGGTTGCCCACACAGTCGCCACACGAGGCATGCTCCCCTGATGTCCTCCCAACCTGAAAAGTGCTGTGTTAAGTGCGAGGATTATTACACTATTCAACCCATTTTTGAGAGAATTGACTACACAATACATCATGATTGCCACTGGAGGCTAAACACAAACAACCCTGTGGTTCTATCGACCTCCAGTGGCAGAAATCCGGGAACTGCAAGGAACAAAATTCACTGCAAAACGACACTGCACCATTTGTGTTCAGACCAGAGATCCACGTTAGTCACTTCTCCCTGCCTCGAGTTGGTGAGGTTCCTGCCCTGTCTGATTGTCACTATCTCATCCCTGCCCTGAGTCCTCAAACAACCGTTGGGACCAGCCGGGAGCAGTAGCGACTGCTGTGCGATGGCTGAACGGTAGCGTTGGCACCAAGAAACATTCAGAATGTGGGTCCCAATATCTTATAGGGAACATAACAGCTAAACTAGTGGATTAATCTTTAAACCAAAGTTCAGGTGGACGTGCAAAGTGGACGCCCCAGGACACCACCAGGATAGAGAAGGGAGTTTTGCCCCGTGCCCCAGTCAACAGTCTTAACAAGCGTACTGACCCTAACTTCCTCCGATCGGTTTATTCCGTCGGTTAAAGCTACAGCTCCCGAGAAAGTTTGGTTCAATTACATTTTTCATACCCTGACGTATGTATGTAAGTCCAGTTGAATCGACGTTGATGTAAGCTGCGAGGAAAGCTCTCTGCCCACGTCGAGAGTGAAGCTGATCTGGACTGACGTGTTGTGTTGAAGTGGCTGGGTTTTTTGCAAGATTTATTTTTAGCCTCAGTTGCTCTCATTCCCTCAGCATTCGGCCCTGATCCAAGTCACCATCAGGCAGAGCAACCAGACCTGTTCTGCCCTGGTTTAGCTTCAGACTATTTCAATCCTCACCATTTGCGTTAAACACAGGATGTTTTACTCTGCGGGGGGGTGGGGGAGAGGGGTGAGGGAGGAGGGGGCAGCCGGGTGTCTGACACACCTGGAAACCCATCACCGTGCTTAAGAGTCTCCAAACCGAGGTGAGAATTCCATGCGGAAATCCCAGCGATAGATTGTTGGAATAGAATGCGCTCTCTCTCTCTCCCTGTCTCTCCCTCCCTGGAGGGATGCAATCTGCTTACCTAATTCCGGAGAGTATTAGGTGCAGGTTGGCAAGAGCCAAGTCACAGGATGGTGGAGACTGACTGACTGATTTTACTGACCCCTTTTACAGCTATTCCTGGACCCGCAACGGGAAGTTCTTCAACGTTGCCAAAGACCCCAGAGTGTCCATGCGATCCCGGTCAGGGACGCTGGTCATCGACTTCCATTACAGCGGCCGGGCGGAGGACTACGAGGGGGAGTACCAGTGCTCAGCCAGGAACGAGCACGGCACCGCCCTCTCCCACAAAATACTCCTCCGCGTCTCCAGTAAGAGCCTCGGAAACACTCCCTGTTGGGTTGGCGGGGATATTTCCCAACAATCTTGGGATGTGAATGATCAAAAAGCTGGTTGGGGGTAGCACGGGGCAGTGGGATTGAATGGACAGTGTGTTGTGATAGCTGGTGTGGATTCGATAGACTGAATGGCCTCTTTCTTTACCGTAAATTTCTGTGAATCTTTTTCTCCGCTCATGGCTTGCAGTTCCACAGGTTCCAGTTATCCTCTGTTAGGCCTTCCCTCCCAGATTCCTGGCACTAACCTCTCTTCCTGTTAAGCCTTTTCTAGCTCTTGATTTTTCTCACCAATTTGTGTCCAGAAATATTTCCTGGTCTCTGGCCAAACGTTCCCTTTTGTGACACAAGGCACACGGCCCTGAGCTAGGCAACAATCTTACTATAATCCCTGTTACACTCAGGAAGATAGGTACAGGAGGAGGCCATTCAGCCCACGGTGCTACAGCCCATTTAATACCCCTCCACACCCAACCCCAATCCCCTGCTTTCTCACCTAATCCTGGAATATCTCTGCTTCCCAAGTGTCGGTCTGAATTCTTCAAGTGGTTTGGCTTCTCTGTAGCTGTAGCTCAGGGTGGTCCGACCTGACATTGATGGGTCTTGTGCACAGAGGCTCCGCTGTGGAGGAAGGAGAACCTGGAGCCGGTGCTGGTCCAGGAGGGAACCTCGGTCATACTTCGCTGTCAACCACCACCAGGACTCCCCATCCCAGTCATCTTCTGGATGGACAGCTGTAAGTGTCCCAGCTCTGAGAGTGTGTGCGTGTGAATCTATGTGTGAGTCTGTTGTGTGTGTGTGTGTGTTTGGTGTATGTGTGTGTATGTCTGGTGTGCGTGTGTGTGTGTAGTCAGTATATTAGAAGTGCTTTCACTCTGTGTGTGAGTGCGGCTGTTTGTGTGTGTTCCAGTGATGCAGCCAATCCCCCAGCACCGGCGAGTGTCACAGGGGCTGAACGGGGACCTGTATTTCTCTAACGTGGTTCGTGCAGACGCCCAATTTGACTACATCTGCAACGCTCGCTTCCTCTTCACCCACACCATCCAGCAGAAAAACCCCATCACCCTCAAAGTCCTGACTAGTGAGTATTTGCGGAGTCTTGCTGCGTAGCGCTTAGAGCACTCGCCTCGCAAGCAAGCGAGAGGACCTGGGTTCGATTCCCGGGCGGGTTGGGGCGAAACATTAGGCAATTTTCCTTACTCCACAAATCTCCGTTTACCTAGCGGTAAGCAGGAACTCGCTGGCTACTCAATTGGCAGATCGCTTTTCCAGGGTTAATCATCCCTTTAGAAAATCTATATAAGTAATAATAACAATAATCTGGTCACTCGATCCACGACTGTTTGTGGGGACGCTGCTGTGCTCAATTGGCTGCCGCGTTTCGCCCACAAAATACACAGTCACTGCACTTTACGGTATGTTCTGTGGTAAGGCGCTATATCAAATGCAAGGGATTATTATTATTATTCTCATCAAGCAGAGATGGTGTTTGATAATGATGGCGAGAACTATCGGTAGCCATCAATCAGCAAGACATTAATTCCACTCCGTTCCTGGAACGATTTGGCTGTGACTCACCAATATTCCTTTCCCCCACCCCCCACCCCTCACCCCACACACACACACTCCCACACACACACTCTCCCACACACACACACACACACATTGCCCAAGTTAGCCTTGCCGTCATTTCAGTTCAGAACTCATCCTAATCCCACTGAAACATTACTGCTAACCTGGTTGTTTGGCCTTCGTCACTTCACACTCATGGAACCAAGTAGTGACATGTGGCCGGAAGCCTTCTCCACCCAAGGACTTGTTTAACTCCCCTCTGATCACATTCCTCCCCCACCCCCTGCGCTGCGCTCCCCTCCCACCCTCTGCTGGTCTCAATCACAACCTATTCATCCTCTCCCCTCCTGCCACCCCCCCCCCCCACCACCACATCCACCCTGAGGGTTGGGAGCTCTCACCAACTCGCAAGCGCTTCCATCTTCAGCTTACAAGTCCGCCCCTTATCCCCTCTCCCTTCCCCCACTTTTCCCGCCTCCCACCACCCCCCCCCGCCCCCTTTCCCCCGCATGTTCCACCCCGTTCTCCTGCCTGGTTTTGCACGCTCACATTGTTTTGTTTGTTACAGTGGATACCAATAATGAATCAATCACACGCTTTGTGAATGAATCTGAATTGTATAGCGGTGAGTGGACGGCACCTTCTGGAGAACTTTGCGGACTTAACCCTTTAGTCTCCTCACCTGACTCACCCGTATATCTTAACCCCACACCCACCCCACTCCACCCCACGTCCCATCCCAGAGTGGTCTCAAAATTCCGCCCAGTCTTAGCCCTGCGAGAGAGTTTTTTTTCTTCTGTGCGTCTTCAAATCTAAGACCACACCTTTATATATTTTTTTTGGTTTGGAAGAAACCCGGCTTCCAGATCGAGATGGGATTTTAAGAATTGTTTTCACGAATCTGCGCTGTTTGGTCTTAAAATGAAGAGGGTCGGGTTTCGTAAGCTAAGACCAGGTGGAATTTGAGACAGGGCGGATCATTTCACAATCCATGGATGTACTGACCAAAGACTAACCTATACACCCCATGTTGTCCTCACTCCAGCAATCCTGTGCTTTTTTTTGGTTTCATATTGCTTTTGGCCCGCTCACTCACTCACTCACTCACTCACTCACTCACTCACTAAACTCACTCACTCACTCACTCACTCACTAAACTCACTAAACTCACTCACTCACTAAACTCACCAGCACAGTGGGAATAAAGGTGACCGGCTTGCCAAGCACCACCCCCCACATCTAAGGATATTCCCTAACACAATCCTTTATCCCAATCCCTTATTGTTGATTTTATTGCCAAATGCGGTTTGGAATTAAGAGTCAGATCATAAAGGAAAAGTAGGTTTATTTCTGGGCATCTTAAGCAGCGCCTTTCACATGCAGTGTAACCTCCTGAAGTGCATCACACATTCTCGCCCGGGTCTACGAGATACTGTGTTTTCAGAGTGTTTTGGAGGCAGGGAGAGAGGGCGCAAGGGGGAGGGACTTGGTGGTGAGGGGAAGGGAATGTCAGGGAGTGGGCACATAGTGTGTGAAGGCTCGGTTGCCAATGGTGGGATTGAGGGAGTGAAGAACGAGCAGCGTAGACGCCACGTGATGTAGGCGCAATGTGGTGATTGTTGCCTCAGAGAATGCCACCAATAAAGGGATCTCCTCATGATAGGACCCCATTGCTAAAGAGGTTGCGTGTAATCTTCATCGGATGACCTCAAACGTAGCCAGCTCCCGGGAACACTGTAACGAATAACACACTGCGTGGGAAAACGTGATTTGGGCTCCGAGCCCATGTTTAAGCCAACACAGCTGCCCTTCCTTAATCCTGCAATTAACCACAGCAAAAAGCAATGCAGGCGATTGTGTCTTGTTTTTTAAGCGCTGTGCGTGTTTGAACATGGCCCGCCCCTCGGGCTGTTAGCACTAGTTGCATTTTAGACCCAACTAACTCAATAATTTTATTAACGAGATTGCTTCGCTAGCAATGGGCTTTGGAGTTGAGGAACGGATCGGCCGTGATCTAATAGAATGGCGGAACAGGCTCGAGGGGGCTGAACGGCCTACTCCTGTTCCTATCTTCCTACAGATCAAATTTGGGACGTCCTCCCGATGTGAAAGGCGCTGTGCAAATGTCATTTTCTTGTTTTGTTGTTGTTGTACCGTGAGATTCCGAGCCTAGTCTTACAGTGACTAGGACAGCGAGGTCCTTGCAGGGAGAGAGAGGGAGAGAGAGACAGGGAGGGATCTCGGGCCTAGTAGAGTCGTGCGATGTTGGTGAGGAACACGGCTGACTTGACCTCCTCTCCTCCTCTGTTGGCAGCTCGGCCGGTCACAGAGCTGACCCCCAGGTTCATGTCGCCGACCGGGACGTCCAGCAACATAATCATCCTGCGCGGGGAGGACCTGTTACTGGAGTGTATCGCGTCTGGAGTGTACGTAACGAGCGTCTGTCTGTCTGTCTGGGGGGGGGGGGCGGTGGTGGGGGGCGGGTGGTGGAGAGGTGGAGGGCGGGGGGGGGGGGGAAAAACTATTTCCTTTTAGTTATAAAGGGATCAGGGGCCCGGGGGGAGGGGTGGAGAACCCAACTCAGACTTGGGATTGTGAACCAAAAAATCCGGAGAGGGGGTAAGAAGGAATTTTTTTCACTCCGAGTTAGGATATAGCACTTATTATCAATTGTAAGAATTTGGGATAAACTAGAAACCCATCCCGGCTTCCCCTGCCCCCTCTGCCCCCCATTCTTGACCCACCACCCACTTCTCCCACTCCTGTCCTGCCCCCTCCACGCGCACTCTTACCCCATGACTTCGATGGGGGTGGCCTCCCAGCACATTTGGGGCATCCCTTCTGACTGCCCGTGAATCGTTCCCCTCCCTGTTATTCAGGCCCACGCCGTACATCATGTGGCACAAGAAGGGAGGCGAGCTTCCCAGGGACAAGATCCGACTGGAAAACTTCAACAAGACACTGCGCATCGTGGACGTGTCGGAGGAGAATTCCGGAGAGTACTTCTGCCTGGCGTCCAACAAGATGGGGAGCATGAGGCACACCATCACCGTCAGGGTGAAAGGTGATGGGAGATTATTTTCGAGCTTGTTCGGTTACAGAATCGTGGTGGCTGGGGCTGGGGGCGCGGGGGTGGGGTGTTTGATGTGATGGCAGCCCTCCTAACCTCACTCCATTAGTTTTCTGATTGCCCACACATCCATCCACACGCATATCCTCCTCACCCCACCCCACTCTCCGACTTATTTGTGGACAATGGTAGAGTCCAAATCCGGGTTGGGAATAATATTTGTTCCAATCCGTCTTTCGCTGGGAAGTGAAAGAGGACCTTTCACCATTTCACCCCCACTTCTCTCTCTTCTCCCAACTATTCCAGTCTCGGGGGGGGTGGGGGGAAAGTTCCCTGCGTAGGTGGGGCTCTCAGTGGTTTGGTTGGGATACTCTGAAGCACGAGGATGGCTGTCTGGGTGCCAGTGTAACTTCCTGTTGCTATAATGTTCTCCTCTCTTGTATCTCGAAGCTGCTCCCTATTGGCTGGATCAGCCGGAGAACCTGGTGTTGTCTCCCGGGGAGTATGGGAGCCTGGTTTGCCGAGCGAATGGAAACCCCAAACCCAACATCCAGTGGCTGGTGAACGGGGAGCTAATAGAGAGTGAGTATGTGAGGTCACTTCCTGCAATGGAGACCTTGCCTCCGCACACCGACTCCACCCCCTGCACACACACTGACCCCCCCCCCCACACACATTGACTCCGACCATGCACACTGACCCCTCCCTCCTCTCCCCCCCCACCCTTCATATACACAAACACACACACACACACACACTGGCCCAAGCGGAGCGGACAGTAACTCATGCCGTGCGCATCTCTTTTCTCTCCAAAGAGGCTCCTCCGAACCCGAGCCGGGAAATCTCCGATGACACCATCATCTTTCGGGACGCCCAGATCGGCAGCAGCGCCGTGTACCAGTGCAACGCCTCCAACGAGCACGGATACCTCCTGGCCAACGCCTTTGTCAGCATCCTCGGTACAGACACCCCCTGCCCTCTCCTCTCCACCCATCCCAAACGTCTCGAAACATTGAAACCCTTTGAAACATTGAGACCTGAGTGTTTGTCGTCGTCGTTGTTGTTGTTGTTGTCTGGTGGTCACCACAGCCTACATTGATGCTTCTCGGTCTCTCTGTCCTTGCAGATGTTGCTCCCAGAATGTTGTCACGGAGAAACCAAATAGTCAAAGTGATTGAAAACAGCCGAGCGAGACTGGACTGTGCTTACTTTGGCTCCCCGATCCCCAACCTGCGATGGTAAGAGGCACCTCATCGTACTGTTACCTTGAGTGGGGGGCAGAACAGGAGGAGGCCATTCAGTGTTTGCGACTGGCTCGGTCTCCCTCGGCATTTACCCCCTCAAATACTGTTCCTTTTCTGTCCGGAGGTTTAAGAATGAACAGGGCAACAACCTGTACGGAGGCAAGTACCTGATCCACGACAACGGGACGCTGGAGCTACGGAGAGCTCGCAAAGACGACGAGGGAACATATACCTGCGTGGCCACCAACGTGCTGGGACACGCTCAGAACCAGGTGCGGCTGGAAGTCAAAGGTAAGAGTCCTGGGGTCCTGGAGCTCAGTGGTTAGGACACTCGCCTCGCGAGCGAGAGGATCTGGGTTTGATTGCCGGGCGGGGCGAAACCTTAGGCAAATTTCCTTACTCCACACACCTCTGTTTACCCAGTAACCCAGTTATTAGTTGATTGGCGGATCGCTTTTCCGGGATAATAATCCCAAACCAAAAATTTTTTAAAACATAATGATTTGGTCACTCGCTCCACGGCTGTTTGTGGGACACTCCTGTGCGCAGTTGGCTGCTGCGTTTCACCCATTAGATTCACTCTACAGTAAATTCTGTGAAGTGCTTTGAGACGTCTCGATAAGGCGCTAATATCAAAAGCGGGGGGGTGGTGGGGGTTAGATTTTTTTTCCCCCCAAAGTGCAAGGCCACCGCCTGGGTCACAGTGTCCTGTTGCGTTTTCCCCTCATTTGTCTTCAGATCACACGAGGATCTTGAAAGCTCCGGAGTCTATCGTGGTGAAGAAGTCCCGCACGGCGCGGTTCGACTGCCGTATCCGGCACGACCCCACCCTGAAGCTGACGGTCACCTGGCTAAAAGACGACAAAGTCCTGTCCTTGCCCTGGAGGTACGAGGCCTTTTACCTTCCCCTCCCCAGCTTCCTCCATCAGCTCATCGTCTTTTGGGTCTCCAAGGGTATCGCTCTCGTCTCCCGGACCAGAAGGTCTTTTAAGCGCTCTGAGAGGCTGCCCCACATGAAGTGCACTATGTAGATGCAAGTTGTCGTTGGTGTCTTCCTCTTTGACCGTGCCTTCGGTCTTCTTCCCACCGCCACCCTCAACCCTCCTTGCCCTCCATCCCTCTTCACCTCTTGATTCCAACCCCCAGCTCATGAAGAGTGTAAACCCTTCATTGTCTGGCACCTTGGGCTGTCCTCCTGACACCGGGGGAGAGGGGAAGCTATATAAATGCAATTAGTTGTGGTTGTTGAATTGCGGGCATTTTGATGCTGTGGACTTGAGCCCATTGGGAACTCTGCCCAAACGCTGGCATGAGCACTTATTTGTTGTTGTTGGGTTCAAGCCACTTTCTCCCCCCCCTCCCAAACCCCCCCACCACCCACCCCACCACCCACACACACACACACACACACACCGTAGGACTCTGATCTCACAGTCTGGTCCAAGGTGGAGGGAGGGAGAGGTGGGGGGAGAAGGTTCTGCTTCTCCATCTCTTTCCTCCCCTGAAAGAACTCTCCCGAAAATCTCGTCTTCACTTTCAGGATGAAGAAGGATGAGGACTCATTAACTATCGTGAACGTGTCAGACCGAGACCAGGGCACATACACCTGTGTGGCCAGCACCGAGCTGGACAGCGACTCCGCCAGAGCCTACCTCACCGTGCAAAGTAATCCCTCGGCCCGTACAGTCTCCACACCTTCACGATCACAGTATCGCCCGGCGAAACCTCTCTGTTTATCAACCAGTGACTAACATGGGATGAATTCCTGTTCTGTACTTAAAATAATAATACTAATAGTAATAATAATAGAAATAATAATAATAGTAATAATATAATAGTTTGGTTAATTTTAACCATGTTTCGCTCTTTCTCCAGTGGAACTCAACTGTTGTCTTTGTGTGTCTGAAGGGGCAGAAACCTCCCTCTATGATATTGAGACGTTTAATGGAATTGGTGGGAAACTAACCTCAAACCTTCCTGTTTACATCCACAGTCGTTGCTTCCCAAACCCCTTCGCTTGCTGCTGTAATGAAAGGTAATCTGCTCACTAATCACATTAAACCATACCCTCCAGCCTCTCCCGAAAATTGCCCTCAGCCGAGCAGGCTCGCAAATCCACCTGGTAAATCGGCTAAACTTGCCCCTGGGTCGCTTTCAGATCGGCCCTCACCTCCCCGAGACCTGGAGCTGACAGACCCCACAGACCGGACCGTGCAGTTAACATGGATCCCGGGAGATGACAACAACAGCCCCATCACAGGTACAACAACAACAAGTACAGAGTAGAGTCTCTGCTCGAGGTCGTGGTTTGTATCATAAGAACATAAGAATTTGCTATAAGGCGATCGCTTGCACATGTCGGGTCCCAAACTATATATTGTATCCCGAGATATATCCTTTAAGGCAACCTTAAACCCCGGTGGGGGAGGAGAGACTAGAGACAGGAGGTGCTGTGAGCAAGACTAGCCATAGTTTGCGTGTGTTTATCCTGTCCGCAGAGTTCATCGTGCAGTTCGAGGAGGACCGGGTTCAGCCCAGGAAGTGGCACAATCTGACCACCTTCCCGAGCACCATCAACTCGGCCGTTTTGGACCTTTCTCCATACGTTAACTACCAGTTTCGAGTCATTGCCATCAATGAAGTGGGAGCCAGTGAGCCAAGCTCACCTTCCGAGAGATACCAGACAACAGGAGAAGGTAAAATGCCGGGCTGGGACCTGTCTCTCTCGATCAACATCACAATATCAATAACGGCTGCCGGGTTTCCCCCCTGTAATATACACGGTCAATCCACTTTACAATGTATTCTGGTGAAGCCCTTTGAGGCATTTCAACGACCTGATAAGGCGCTGTATCAAATGCAAGGATTATTAATAGTATTAGGTTCCATTTTGCAGTGTTCCTCAATGCAAGTTCTTGGCCAGGAATTCTGTTCGAATTCTCATCTCTCCCCCTGCGAAATCACACGCGAGTGAGTGGTGTTCCCATGGGTCATCTTGAGTATATGTCACCTCCCGCGTGCCTTGCATCCTCTATTCTACGTGAGATGTGAATTGAAGTTGTATTGAGTGAGTTGGACTGTAATTGTAATGTTTCGCTTTTTTCGCAGCTCCTCTGTCCAATCCGACCAACGTCAGAGGCATTGGAGCATCAAAAAACAGCATGGACATCAGGTGGACGGTAAGTCCCAGTCTTTGTAAACCTCTTACACGTGTTACAGACAATCAGCTGATCACGAGAGGAAGGTGCAGAGGAGAGCAGCAACTTGCATTTACACAGTGCCCTAGTAGAACGTCTCAGAGCGCTCAACGGTTGGATGCCGAGCAAGGAGGACGGGAGGGTGACAGGATGGCGCAGGTTCATAGGAATTTGAGGACAGACAGCAGGAAGCTAACGCTGTCCGTCCTGTGTCCCCTGCCCAGCCTCTAAACGCCACGCAGGTCAATGGGCCGGGCCTGAAGTACGTGGTCAGCTGGAAGTTGGCCGAGACTGACGACGAATGGAGCACGGCCACGGTGACCAAGGCCAACTACGTGGTGTCTCCAGCGCCCGTCTTCACCCCCTTCGAGATCTCGGTGCAAGCCATCAACGACTTCGGGGCCGGGCCGGAACCCGACATCGAGATCGGATACTCGGGGGAAGACTGTAAGTGTCGGGCCCTGCAATCAACAACAACGACAAAAGCAACTTGCATTTATACAGTGTCCCTCTCACAGGGTAGCGTCGCAGAGCGCTCCTCTCATAGAATCATTAAATACTACAGCACAGAAAGAGGCCATTCGGCCCATTGTGCCAGTGCCGGCCATTTGAAAGAGCTACCGACGAGTCCCATTCCCTGCTCTCATTCCACAGTAATCCCTTTTTTTTCCTTGTAACGTACCCACCCATCAATCGCGCAATAGTCACACAACGTGCAGCCCTGCAAACAAAAGCAACCAAACAAGCAGCAACAACAGTCAAGTTATATTTACACAGCGCCCTTCACGTCGGAAGGACATCCTAAGGCACTGGACAGTTAAGGGTTTGCACCCGAGCTGGGGGCGGAATCAAAATGCAACACCTCCCACCGCCCCCTCCACCCCCACACCCCACACTCACACAGCACTGCGCTGGGGTTAATGTCAGTTCAGACCATATGAGTTCCAAGTTCTGATGTGGGGCTTAAACCCACAACCTAAAAGCAGACAAACACAGAGGCCTCGTCTGCCTGTTTCACACTAACGTGCCTCAGGGTCTCTGCTTTCTGCTTGTGTTTAGATCCCAAGGCGGCTCCCATCCTCACCTCCAGGAGGAACGTCAATAGCACGGCCGTCCTGCTCCAGTGGAGGCCGGTGGCTCAGGAAGACCTTCAGGGACACGTCAAAGGCTACAAAGTAAAGTAGGCGAAGGGCCCCCGTGCTCTGCCATCTTGGATTTTGGATCAATGTTTTTATTGGGCGTGAGTGAAAAGTGACTGGATTTTCTATATAGCGAGCCTTTGCTACAACGGCTGTGTGTTGTGGGTGTGTATGTGGGTGTGGGGTGGGGGGGCGCGTGTGTGTGTATCAACCCCTCTCCTCCCCCCTCCCCCAAGATCCAAGGTTTAAGCTCCACAAATGTCCCAGTTGGTGAAATCACTGACCAGGTTCTATTCCCAGGTCTAAGACGTACCACAGTTAGTCTGATCGCTATCAAATGTCTTGGGTTAATTGCTAATTCGCCTCTTCCTTGCCTTCATTACATTTGTATGTTGGTCTGTGATGTCTCTGTTGAAGCCCTGTCCCATGTGTGAAGACAGATTGCCCACGCTGGTAAAGACTCTGTGTCTCCTCAGGTTCAGTATTGGAACGAGGGCAGTTTGCTCAGCCCGACCAGACAGAGATCACGCACCAGGATGGTAGAGTTCCCTGGTGAATACACGCGGGGTTTGTTGTCGGGGCTGACGCCCTACTCCATGTACAAGATGCAGATCGCGGTGGTCAATGGCAAAGGTAGAAGTAAATGGAGCACAGAGTTTGCGCTGAACACCACCGAAGGAGGTACGTAAATCCAGACCCAACCCAGATTAAGGGGATGAAAGTGGTCTCTCAGTATATCCAAAGTGAAGTGGTTTCAATCTAGTTCTTAGGTGAGCCAGAATCCGCAGTGTAGACAATAACCACAAGCTGGTCAATAGGAAGTCCGTATTCTACCTCGGTATGGATTCTCTTGAGGTTGGATTTCCATTGCTCTTCAGGTATCGACTCAATTTCCCTTGTAAATGGTGGTACGGTTGAGGCTTGAACAGCCGAATGTGATGACTTGAGGTGGGTTCCACGGCTTCTGATATTGGTTTGAAGAATGCTCCTGAAAATCAGGTCCTTATGCATGGATTTCACTCAGCAGGCTCCTGGTGTGAGATGGACATCCATGCTATTTCCATCCTGGTCGTCTTCTGCTCTCGGGATAGTTCTGGCTCCGGTTTTACCTGGCTCTGGTTTTCATTTTGATTGTTTCTTTTCCCCCTCATCAGTCCCTGAGAAGCCAAATTCCCTGAGGATCAGGCAGCCAGACTTGGATTCCATTATTTTGGAATGGACACGTCCGTACAATCCCAACGGGATCATCACCGGCTACACGCTCATGTTTCACCCTCGTAAGTGCTACGGCCCCCTTTCCTCCACGTTGGGGAACTCTCAATGGAAGAACATTGGAATATCCATCAATGGTTGTATTGTGGGCAGACAGCACCCAGTGGTGTGTTTGCTCTATCTCTGTCCAGGACCTTGAGTTGACTGTGGTTATGTCAATTGGATCACACTGGTCTGATTTACCCCCAGAGATATTCGGTCTAAATTGCTGGGATTGTGAAAGGAATAATAATGACTATCGCATCCCAGGTCTGCACCCTAAACTCTGCAACCAGTGACCTTTCCTGTAAAAGGCTCCATCCTCGCCAGGCTCCTCCAGCTCTCAGTCCCCCAGCAAATTGTCTTCAAGGTCCTCATTCTAACTCTCAAATGTCACTGTACCTTTACCTCGATTATCTCCTGTTGTTCTACTTTTACCCCACTGCCCCCCCATCTCCCCCACCCCATATTCACTTCTGCTCTCCATCAACTCAAGCCTGTTGCATGTGCCCCCACCCTCCCCCCACTCTCTCATCGAGCAAGCCTTCAGATTTCATGCCCCCACCCCCTGGAACTCTCTCCCTAAATCCCTCTCTCTCTGTATTCAACACCTTCTTAAAACACCTATCTCGTTGTCCTTGGTCCTTTCTATCCCCCATCCCCCAAATCAGGCCCCCACTAAGGTCCCCGTAAAGCGCTTTGAGATGGCTTCCTACGTGAGTGTTGCTGTGTCAGTACAAGCGGCTGTTCAATTGCATGTGTGCTTCATTGCTTCCCAACAGTGAACGGCTCCTATTCCAACCGTAACGTGACATATAGCAGGCTCTCGGCCGGTCAGACCACCTACACCGTAGAGAGGGTTGACTCCAACACCAGGTACAGGTTCTACCTCTTTGCTAGGACCAGGCAAGGACTGGGAGATGCGATCGTGCTGAATTCACCCGGCTTCGCCAACGAAGGTAAAGGTACCAGCCAAGCGCTCAGAGTAACACTGTGTGATTAATCCTACACTGTAGGCAGGTCTAGAGAGGAGAGGAGCTGGGAGCTGGGTAGAGAACATGATGAAGGCACTATAACAGCTGACCTTCAGTGACCTTTGCGAGATGGTATCCCATCATTATATGAGGAGTAGGAATTTCAGCGTCCACGCCATACTTTAATACAAGGCACCTCTCTGTGCCTTAAACGGTTCCTGCCCCCGCTCTTTCTCTCGACCCTCTGTAATCCATGGTTTGCGCTGTGCCTTTGCATAGCACCTGTCGGCAACGACACGGGGCAGATTTTGGGATTGGGAGCAAGACAGGGCTCTCTTGGGCAAACAGGCGGGTTAGTGATTGTGCCCCGGGGATTAAAGCTCACTGCCCATTGCAGCCCAACAAGCCTGGAACCCTGTGAGTACCACAAGTCGCCCATAATCACACCTAAGTGGATCCCGCTGATGGGGTATCAGTAGATTGGGGTAGAATGTACACAAATATGACACCCTGACGGAAAACATACTCTCTCACCCTCTACGAGGTGGTGTGTAACTCGGTGCCAGCCAAGCCACACGTAAGCTGTGGACAAAATGGACAAAGTTGATGGTCCCAGTGTACACTGTGATCTTGAAATCTCTTCTGTTTTAGCTTCAAAAATAAGATGTCCCCTCTTTCTTTGTCTATTCTGGGTGTTCTTTATTTTGGGAGGTGGGGGGAGGGGAGGGGTGCGGAGAAGGTGGGGGGGTGGGGGGAAGGAGAGGGGTAATGAATCCAATAGCAAGATAGAACTGACTTTCTTAAAAAGAACCGGCTTCCAAATCAACCCTGTGCCATGTTAAGCTCTGGGACAATTTTAAGGATCGCGGTTAGAAATCCTGTTCAGGGTTGGCCACTGGTCGCGTTTATAACGTCGTCTCAAGACAAACCTTAATGTTATTATCGTTAATATTAGTATCAAACCTTCATATTGTTAATAATAATCTGACAGCCGGTTTGACTCCGGTCTTAAAACAAACTGCGGAAAAGAAAGCAAAAAAACGCTTCCAAATTAAGACCCACGTCAAGAATTTTGTTTTTCCCCCCAAATCTCCTGCACAATCTTAGATTTTAAGACAACGGTCTTGAAGCTAAGACCATGAGAATGTTGGGCTGTTAAGAACTGGGTATCCACATATATATATATATATATACACATATATATGATGTGTATATAGTGTCCAGGCTGTGCTGCAGTGAGTTGTGGGATGGCTCTAAACAGAGATAATCAGATGGTTTATGTGGAGGTTAAGGCTTTCACTTATTTCCCTTGACTTGAGGTTGGAGTTGTTTGTATTGAGTTTCTAGCGTTTCTCTGGAGGGTTAGTAACCACAGTGGAATACTCACCCAGTGTTTGTTGAGCGCTGTTACGGGACATAAACAGTGCGTGTGTATGAAATAACTGTGTATATTATAGCAAATCAAACCCCAAATTGGACAATCAGTGCCTCTGTAGGTTTGAGTCTCTCTGTGCATTTTGCCTGACTTTAATCTGTAGTCTTGTCTGTTTCCTTTTCTTTTCTCTTCTCTTTGCCTTACTGAAGTCACCCCCACCATTGAGGTTGCCAAAACAGAAGGAGGTAACAGGGAGGGTGGGGGTGCAGCAAGTGGAGCGAGCAACGGGTGGGGGGGGAAGGTGGGGGTGGGGGGGTTGGGGGGACGAAATGAAATTGCTTCGCTTGCAACATGACCTAGTTTCATGTAGAAAAATGGATACCTGGAATTGACGAGCAAGGCTCTGTATGCAGAGGTGTGACCAGATTGTCGCACGTAGCACTCGATGTCTAGTTACAAGAATAATCATCATTCTCACATTCGGTACAGCGCTTTTCATGTCGGGAGGACGTCTCAAAGCGCTTCACAGGATTCACTGTAAAGTGGAGTAACTGTAGGTTCTGGTGATAAATAGATCAGATGGTTATACCTCCTCCTTGCCTCGCTTCCTGGTATCTGAGCATTTTTTTGATGTGATATATACTGCAGTGGTTTCTGCGACAAATGCACAGCCTCTCAGAAACGCACTGGCGTCGTTTGTGACTGCTTTAACCCAGCATCGGTCGCCTGTGCCTGTGAGTGTACACAGTATATATTGTTACGTTGGCTGTGGGGTGTGGTTGGTAGTGCATGCGATGAAGACCATCATCCCAACCTGCGTGTCTCTCGTCCCATCCATCATCACCTGGCTTCCCACTGTTACTGATGCACCTTGCGAGTTGGCAAGTCCTGAGAGGAGTTATAGTTGTTGTGTGGCTGAATGATTTGCTGCCGAGGAAGAGAGAGAGAGAGAGAGAGAGAGAGAGAGCTGACGGCCATTCCATTTTACCCTTTGACGCTTGGGTGCAGTCGGGGTGTAGAGGAACTCGGGTTGCCTCTTGTGTTGGTGACATTTTACCAAATCAGCTGTAATTTGACCCTCCTCTTCAACCGTACTCTAACATTGTTAGTGCGCAGTGGGCAGGTGAGGGTGGGGGGGGGTGAGTGAGTTTCACATCTCTTTCCCTCTTTCATCCATTTATTTACAAAGTTTCGAACAAAACTCCGAGCCGAGAGCTTGAGTTCGAACAGAACTCCCGTTGAATCCTTCTGGTCTCTCAGCGTCTCGTTTTTAGGGGAAAGGTTTCTGCATTATTGGGGGTGAAAACCGGGGGGAAGTTTGTACGGTAATAATGTACTGTAGTGGCCCCATTACTAACTAATAATAATAATAATCCTGGCATTTGATACAGCGCCTGATCACTTCTTCAAGACGTCTCAAAGCGCTTCACGGGATATACTGTAAAGAGTAGTGACTGTATATTTTTGTGGGCAAACAGTCGTGGATTGAGTGACCAAATTAGTATTTAAATCTGCACGTATATAACAGGCTGAGAGCCCCAGTACTGACTCTGAGCACAAAGCGGCTGAGTAAACTGCACCAATCCACGTGGCTCTGTAATTCCGCATCAACACCAGTAACCTTGCAAGAGAACGAAAAAAAACTGCTGATTTAGAGATTTAGCAAAATCAGCTAAAATACGTCTATAGTCAGCGGAGGGGCCTGGGCTGAACCTCTGAGCACTTGCTAAGCATCAGCTGCACAACTGCTACTGCAACCCTTCAGAGGAGGGGAAGGGGGGAGAGAACTGGGTGTGTGACACCAACAAAAACAACAACAACAACAACAAAATAGATAGATGTTCTCTCTCTCACTTTCCTCTGTATCTTTGTGACTGAGCATCTCTTCCTCTTCCTCTCTGTCTGTGTGTGTCTGTCTCTCTCCCTCGCTCTGTTTCTCTTTCTTTTGTCTGACTCTTTCGCTCTCTCTCTGTCTCCGTCTTTGTCTCTCCCTCCTTTCCCTTTCTCTTTATCCCTCTCTCTCTGTTTCCCTTTCTCACTCTCCCTCTCGCTTTGTCTCAGTCTCTGTCTGACCGTTTGTCTGTCTCTTGTCAATTCCTTTCCCCCTTCTCTCTTTCTGACTGAGCATCTGACTCCTTTTTCTCTCTATCCCTCTCTCTCTCTTACTCTGTCTCAGTGTCTGTCTCTCTGTCTGTCTGACTGTCTGTCTCTATCACTTGCCCTTCTTTCTCCGTCTCGCTCTCTCTCTCTCCCTCTAGCTGTGTCTAAGAAACCAGAACCTGTTTGTATCTGGCTTGTGAAGTGCTTGGCATTTGTGCAGTGTTTGGACATGGTGGGGGTGGGGGGGGGGGGGGGCGGGGGGAACAAGTGTGTCTGTGTGGATCCTGGTGTTCGATTGGGAGACGGAATCTCAGAAATCTTTCAGTCTCACAGCAACGATATAACATTGAGCAAAATACTGGAAAATTCTTAAATTACATAGAGTTACGTAGACTGTACAGCACCAAAACAGACCATTCGGCCCAACTGGTCTCATGTGGAGGGTTTATACTCCACATGAGACCCCACCCCTACTATTCCCCTCTCCTATTCCCTTATCTCTTCCTCAGCTATTCATCGAGTTGCCTCTTAAATGCATCGATGCAAATCTGCCTCAACCACGACTTGTGGCAGCTGGTTCCACATTCTCACACCCGCCGTGCAAAGCAGTTCCTCCTAAACTCCCCTTTCAGATCCACTAAATTCCGTCGCCCCAAATCCCTGAACGTCCAGCGCCTCGGGACGTCCTCCTGGACGTGAAAGGCTCCATGTAAATATGTCAGTTGCTGTTGTTGTTGTCGTTGTCGTGATTCGCAAAAAGATAACGGTTTCCGAATCCAGACCGAATTTAAGGATTTTCCAAAACAATTCTGCACTACTTTGAAACTTTGCAGACAACGGGCTCAGGGCTGAGGCGGGCGGAATTCGGGGGCGGTGGGGGCGCTCAGGTGAAGTGACTGCGCTTTCTGACTCCGAGAGCATGGCCGTGCTTGGCTTAAGGGACACCCTGACGTCTTGTGCTTTGGAGCGATCTCAGCTGATATCTTCACCCACTCCTTTCTCACTCCATCCATCCATTATCAAGCTGTGAGCCGCATGTCTTAAGCTTATTTGTGAAAAGTACTTTAACCTGAAGCCGTTTGCTTGCAACAGAATGAAAACAAACACAGAAATCACAGGGACATTGCAGCCTTTTTTTTCCTCCTCCCCCCACCCACCCGCTCGAGCCTATTTCAAGTTCAAAGCATCCGGCCTTTCTGATCTTGGAGGGACGGGATTGGTTTTGGTATTATACTCTTCACCTTCGAAAAGGACGCTTTCTCTCCCACCACCCACCTACCTACCTACCCCACCCACTCCCCACGCACCCTCTGGGCTGCCCCTCAAGCCTTGGCTCTTGCCAACCTACGCTTAGTACTTTCCGGAATTAGATAGGCAGGATTCATCCATCCGGGGAGAGAGAGAGCGAGAGATCGCATTCCATTCCAACCATCTATCTCTGGGATTTCCACGTGTCGGTGGGATGCGTAGAAATCTCAGCTTGGTTTGGAGTTCTTAAGCAACGGTGATGGGTTTCCGTGTGTGTCAGACACCCGGCTGCCCCTCCCACCCCCCCAAAAAAAATCCCCCCCCACTTTTTTTTCCCTCTCGAGCTCCATTTGTGATCTTAGTATTGATGGTTCTCGACAGCCACAGAGAGCTAGCTTCTTGCTCGCAGCAATGACTCTCTGCTTGCGTCAGTGTTTGGATATTTTTCCAGCAAACGCCTCCGGCTTTCCTCTTCGTGGTTGGACTTGACATAGAGGAAGCTCCACGGATGTCAGCAGGCGGACACGAGGACAGTGACTGCTCCACGCACAGCCCTGTAGGGGGACGTTACGTGTCATTCAGCTCACAGAAAAGGACTGCTCATAGGACCACCGACTCACAGCCAAACTCCCCATCAGAATTCACCAAAGAAAATAAGACAGCAATCACACTGTTGGATCATGCGCACAAGGTTACGCTGAGAGCACTACAGGAGGAAGGTTTCAAGGGCTCAACCTCTGAAGTTCTTTAGATCAATATCACCTTCACGATGCTACAAGGAGTCGGGTGTCAGTGCTCGTTGGTGGAATTTGAGACCCACACAATCAGCTGTCCCAGTGATGTTCTCGAGTGACTGATGGTGAATGGATGATGGCAGAACAACCTTGAGTATTGGCGAGGATTCCAAGGCTGTACAGTACAGACACGTAACCCATACCAGCATGACCCGAAATTCCCTACGAGATGGTATCAGCACGAGATGGTATCACCACGCTCTGATCAAAGTGTCCCTAGGGTGATATCCTGTAGGTTGCCAGGAACCATCAATACACCAATGGGGGGGTGGGGGGTTGGGGGGAGAGAGAGAGAGAGAGAGAGTGGTGGGGGGGCAAAAAAAAAGCATGGTCCTTGGGCTTTCAAACATCTAACGACTTGGAGCCTGGGTTGGTTTGGTGGTTCACTGTTGTTGTTGTGTTTTCTTCCCTCCTTCTTTTCAGTTCTCTCGAGGTTTATACCCACAGTCCAAGCTACAACCGTCGTTACCACCGTTGCCACGACGACCACGACCACAGTCAGCACCGGCGCTCCCCCAACTCCACTCACCACAGAATCTGCTCTGCCAGCAGTCACCCCTACTTATGTATCTGGTATCTATCTTCTCTGGCACTTTACGATGCGAATTTATCATAAGAGAACAGAGATTCCAGATTACTGCAAACAAAAACAGAGGGGAGACAGAAGAGTTATAGAATCGGAGAATATTACAGCACAGAAGGAGGCCATTCAGCCCATTGTGCCTGTGCCGGCTCTTTGGAAGAGCCGCCCAATCAGTCCCACTCCGCCGCCTGCTTTTTCCCGAAGGATATACCTCCACCAGCCTTTCAGGCAGTGCATTCCAGACCGTAACAACTCTCTGTTACGATTTGATGATGGCTTTCCGAAGGGAATCGGATATTTACTTGGAAAGGAAAAAAACTTGCAAGGCTATGGGAAAAGAGCTGGGTAGTGGGATTGGTTGGTAGCTCTTCCAAAGAGCGGGCACAGGCACGATGGGCCGAATGGTCTCCTTCCGTGCTATGGATTGTATGATTCTAAGAGGAAGGGTTACGAGTTGTTGTCATGTGAAAAGCAAATCTCAGGACCTGGTCTGGGTTTTATATCAATGGTTCTCAGTTCTCAAAGAGGAGCCGTGACCAGAACTGTAGATGCATCATTGGAAGTTGAGACTTTCCTGTCCGAGGAGGTAGAAGGGCAGGAGAGAGAGGTTGAAGAGAAACCCTGTTGATTGCCACTGAATTTTGTGTTTTAATTCTTATTGTTACCACAGAGTCAAGGATAATAATAATCCTTGCATTTGATATAGTGCCTAATCACGTCTTCTAGACGTCTCAAAGCGCTTCACAGGATGTACTGTAAAGTGAATTGACTGTATATTTTGTGGGAGAGACACGGCAGCCAATTGCGCACAGCAGCGTCCCACAAACAGCTGTGGATTGATCGAACCAAATTATTATCATTTATTTATTTTTGAAGGGATTATTACTCGCGGAAAAGCAATCCGCTAATCGACTAACAACCAGTTCCAATTTGCTAGGTGAACAGAGGCGTGCGCGGGGAGTAAGGAAACTTGACCAACTTTTCTCCCTGCGCCCGGGAATCAAACCCAGGTCCTCTCGTTTGCGAAGCGAGCCCTCTAACCACTGAGCTACAGGACTCCACTGTTGTATCTGCGGTCCCGGAGGCTTTGCTTTGCTTCCTCATTTTGATCTTGTCTCTCCCAACCACTAATCCAGACCCTGACGCACACTGACCACAATCCGTTGGTGATTACCGATTAGCTGGATTTCCTTATTTGGTGGTGCTCTTACTGAGTCTAACCGTGCTTTATATACTTAATTGTGATTAATGGCTAGGGTTGCAACGATCGATTCACACCACCGTGTGACACTAACTGGGACCACTTGATTAGAAGTGACCCCAGTCCTGTCTCATCACCTTTACGCTCGGCTTCAACCAACAGCAACAACAACTTCCATTTATGAGGCGCTCCACACCTAGAGTGTAGCCTGGAGGGAACTCACGTCAGCCAAGTCTGATCCTGCACCCACCTGGCGTTCAGCTTTCCTTCCCGCACCTTCTGGAACTCCAATCCCACCTTGTACCCTCCCTTGCCTCTTTCAAGGCCCGTCTCAAGACCCTCCTCTTTGATCGTGCTTTCGGTCACCCTCCTATCCCCCCGCCCCCCTCCCCCCCTATTCCCCTACCCTCCATCCCTCTTGATTCCAACCCCCAGTTCGGTTGCAAACCCTTAACTGTCCAGCGCCTTGGGACGTCCTCGCTGTGTAAATGTAATATTGTCCTCGTCGTTGTTGTTGTTGGCTACACCCAAAGGCATGATGGGAATATTGGATGCATTTTTGAGCGGGAGGGGGGGATAACAACGCACATTTATGCTATTTTTAAAAAAAAGGCTTCATTTTAATGCATAACCCAGAGTTTGACAGTGATGTGTCGATTGTTGCAGCTCTCCGCTAACTAACTCTGCCGCGCACTAACTCTGTCTCTGATACCCGCTCGCTAGAAACCACCAACAGGATACTCAACGTCTCTGCTTCAACGGCCAGTATCTCCGCTAACATCACGTGGACTCACACCTTCCCGAGAGATACCGAGTTTGTGGTTGAATTCACTCACAGTAAGCACTGGGCACTGCTCGTTACTCACTCACCACTTACCAGTGAGCGGAGGGAGGAAGGGAGGGAGGGAGGGAGGCTCAGAGATTGCTGTGTTTAGTGTTTGGTTCAGAGACAATATTGATGTCACTCCTCCCCGGGGTTTGAAACTCCATCGTCAAGTCCCATCTTCCCCCGGAACTCAGTGACGTGGGGGGAAGGAAAGCCCACTCAGGCCAATACCTCTGGGCAGTGGACTGTGTGACACCCCCCAGGCCCCCTCCGTAGAGAAGTCCCACCCACTCCGGTTACCAAAGCCGTCCATGTCGGGAATAACCCAAAGGTATTGTTGACGGTTGACCAACCTTTTAGGAACATAGGAACAGGAGGAGGCCATTCAGCCCCTCGAGCCTGTTCTGCCATTCTATTGGACTACAGCTGATCTGTACCTCAACTCCAATTTCTCTTGCCCATCAATGAGGCTTAAAGATGGAGCCATGTCCTCATTCCCCCACCCCCGTTCTGCCATCCCTCCCCCTTTGCCCTCCAGCCCTCTTGATTCCAACCCTCAGCTTGGGTGCAAACCCTTGACTGTCCAGTACTATTAGCTTGGGACGTCCTCCCGACCTGAAAGGCGCTGCGTAAGTACAAGTTGTTGTTGAGGAGGAATTGTTTATAATATGCGACGGACCGTAACGCAAGTGTTAAACTCTCTTCTGGAGATGCTACAGTGCTGCCCGATGGCATGAGCTGGGGTGATTGTAGCTGGCGATGTGAGACCAGCTTTCGGGTTTCCCGAGCTCCCGAGCCGGTCTCCGAGGGCTGACGTCTCTTCCTCTTCCTCATGCACTTCTTCCAGGTAACGGTACCGTCAAACAAGAGCGTACCAAGGCCAACCAGAACGCTGTTCAGCTCATGGGTCTCGCTCCCGGGACCCAGTACAGTGTGAGAGTGTACGCAGTCCCGCTCCCATCCGTTACCGGCAAGAACGTTACCTTTCAGACCGATCCAGGTGAGGCCAGGGAACCAGGGTCCGTGTCCATGTGTTTCGTCCCAGTACAGATCCCTCCTGAGTGTGTTGTCGCTGCTTCTGTGTTCGAGGAGTGAGAGGCACTCGGTAGGACCTGGTTATTGGCGACAGAGTCCTCAAGGTCCACGGCTAAATGAGGTTCCATTATGAAAGACATGCGCTGAAGTGTTTGCAACGCAGCCTGTGTAAGCTAATCATCGTCTGTTGTAGCGAGCTGGTAACTTGGGGGGTCAGACCCGATTTGGTAACAAACCTGGTCCATCGTGGACTTCCTGAGTCACCTCTTCATCAGGTTCTTGTGGCTTTGCTATTGCTGTCGCACTATTACCTTGGCAATGGCAACAGCGGAGGGTTAGCCAGGGCTACCAACATGCCCTGTGGGCTATCAGTCTCTGCATTGGGCTGTCAATATCAGCATTGGGCTATAAACATTGCTGCTACCCATTGGGCTGCAAACCGGTTGCACGAACATCTCTTCAGTAAGGTGTAGTTTCTTGCGGGTTCCCGGGTCAGTTAAACAGGAGCGACCGCAGGAAACCGCAGGAATTCAGTCGGAACGTAACAGGTTTGCAAACCGCGCTGTATCATAAGTTTGTTAAAGAGTGAAGGCGGTCGGTCTCGCGGTCTAAGACCGGGTGGGATTCCGTGAAGCTGTTTGAAGTCAACACATTTTGGCCCCTCATTGAGGTCATTGGAGGCGGCTCTCAGTACAGCAGCGCCGCCTGCAGGTCGGCACAGGGAGAGCATTGCTGCCGTGCTGGATTAGTTAGGTTTATTCTATAAGACAATTGACGCGTATAAACTGTAGTGCCTTTCATATCAGAAAGGTGTGTCTCTCTGTTACGTAGGTGAACAATTAGTAAGACGCTGCGCTTTATTCCTATCTTTCTACTCGCTAATACTCAAGCCCTAACCTGGTTGAGAGGCGCTGGGTGAATGCCAGTTGTTGTTGAGGTTGTATAATAATCCTCACATTTGATACGGCGCCTTATTCACATCGTCGAGACGTCTCAAAGCGCTTCCCAGACATTAGATACTGTAACGTAAAGTGCAGTGAAAGCTGTTGTTAACAGCGCAGCCCATAAGGCTGTTTGTAGCTGGCCTTATTTCTCTCCGTTGTTCGTATGATCCAATTTAACATGTTACCATCTATCGGCCAGAGGACCAGGGGCGAAAATCCTCTTATCTCGAGACTTAAACTGACTCGTTGCTCTCGTTCGGTGATGTTTACACATTGGGTTGACAGCATCGGGTTCCGGTTGCTGTGGTTGGTAACTTTGACTTGACCGAGTCTTTTGCCTTCGAGATCCTTTTGTGAAACAGCTTCCGCTGAAGTTTTCGGGCTTTCGGACGGTCGTGCATTTGGGTTCTCTGTTAAGTTAGAATCTGAAAGCTCTCGGGAAATTGCAAACCGAGGGGGAAGATTCCGTGGCAGGGATGTGTGGGTGGGACACAGTGTGGGTGGGTGGGTGGTGGAGGGTGGGGGTTGTGGCGGGTGTTGTCAGCTTCTCTGTCACTGAGCACATGGTCGGGGCTTAATTCTGAAGCCGTTTTGTTTTTAGGAGCTGTGGTTGAGGCAGAAGCCATATTGAACCAGATAAATAGCTTAAAAGGAGTCAAATACAGAGGTGTGGAGGGAAAGGGCAGGTAAATGGGAGTGAAAGGATATTCGCTAACCTGTACGCACATACACACACACACACACACCTTTCCAGGAGATAGGCACTGAGTATTAGACGTTACTGAGACCGAACCCGAATGCAGAGTTAAACAAAAGGATTAAAGCATTCAGTTCGGATGAGTTTTGAAATTGTAGGCAACAGGAACTTTTGGGGAAAGACTCTTATGTTTGGGGCGTTTGGGTTACAAGTGAAACTATCGTTCAGCCTCGGGGGGGCGTCCTGGGGCTTGACGGTGTTTGGCCTGGGAGCCGGACAGTAAAGCTCTGACTCTCTCTGCCACAGCCTTCACTAACCGGCATGGGGACATTGCCACGCAAGGCTGGTTCATCGGGTTGATGTGTGCGGTCGCTCTCCTCGTCCTCATACTACTGATCGTCTGCTTCATCAAGAGGAGCCGAGGTGGTAAATACCCAGGTAGGTGGGCGAGAGAGAGAAAGAGAGAGAGAGGGTGGGGGGGGCAATAACCTGGGGACTTCTTACGTATTACTTGTCGCTCTCAAGACTTTCTTGTTCGATCGTGCTTTCGGTCATCCTCCTCGAAGGGAGGGAGGGAGCGAGGCGAAGGGATTGTAGGATGGAGTTCCACCAGAGGGTGGGGGCCAGAGAGGCTGAAGGCCCCACCGTCAATGCTGGACGGCGGGGTGGGGGTGGTGGGTGGGTGGTGGGGGGAACGTGGTGCAGGCCGGAGCTTGCTGAGCGGTGGGGAGCGGTGTGTAAGTTCTTGGAGGTTCTCTGTAATGGCCACCGGTCCCTTTGTGCCGCTAACGGCTGCTGTTCTTTTCCTGTTGTCCTTCAGTCAAGAAGAAGGAGCACCCTGGAGACGAGACTCACGCACCGCAGGACGACAACGGATCCATGGGTTATCTGTAGGTTATCAATAACTTTTAACCTTCCTAACTAATCCTTCTCTCCTCTCCTCCTCCCCTGAAGTTGCTGACAGATCCCGGGGCTTAGCTCCTCAGGCGGCCTCTGATACCTCTCCTCTTGTTGTTTGAGTCTAGATAGTGAGTCCCGGGCGGGTTATTTGACTTCAGGGGATATCATGGCCACCCTGTGTCCGCACGCGCTCTCTTCAATGATACAATAGGGTTGGCCTGGGTATTGGGATTGACCTTTCTCCGCCTTCCCCCCTTCCCCTTCTCCCCCTCCCGCCTCTCCACTCCTCGCCACCCACACACAATCCTTGTGTATTTTTCTTTTTAACAAAAATAATGGTCCAATTCCCAATTCAAAAGTATTATTGTAGGTTCTGCTTCAACTGGCCAATGTACTAAGCTAGGGTCAGGTTCAAGAGAGGGGATTGGAGGTGAGGTCAATCTATTACGAGCTGTATTTTGAGATTGACCCAACGCCAGACCGTGTAATGTAGAGGGAAACTCTTTTCAACTCTCTTCTGATCTCCGCATCTCCATGACAATGCTGGGGCAGTGGCGAGTGAAAGGGTAGGACGCTCCCTACAGGACCGGAGTGGGGAGTGGGATCGATGGGGAGGGGGACGTGCAGAGGGAGCATTCGGTTGAATCGTTCCCTAGTCTCTTCCCCGTGTCTCCTGACGGGCTTTCCCAACAGCAGTTTTGGCAAAGGAGCGGGAGCAGAGGAACGCTGCCAATTCCTCTCCGGCACAGTTGGCATGTTGCCTGGGGTAAGGCAGGGGAAACTGGGTCACAAGCAGGAGAAACTCCAGCTTCATCAAAAGATTTTAATCCCGTGCTCACCAGCACCTGGTCCCCAGGGCAGAATCTCTCTGCCTGTACTTAGCATACAATCCTCACTCTCCTCTCTCTCTCTCTCTATCTCTCTCTATCTCTCCCAGCTCGGTAACTAAATGTCTGTGTCTGTGAGTCTGTGCTGTGCACGAGATTATTTAGGAGAGAGAAAGGTTTATTGCAAATGCACAGCTCTGGGAAAGCACTGTGTTCCCTGTAGGTGGGTAACACCGAGGGTGATTGTGTATTTGTACCCGTTCGTTGATTGCATTCTTACTGTTAGGGTCAAACCTTTTCTGGCTACACTCGAGGCTGATGGGGGTGGGGCAGGGGAGAGAGAGAGGAGATGTGTTTGACTGCTGACTGCTGCGTTTGACTGCAAAATACACAGTTACTACACTTGGCTGCAGTTCCCTGCGAAGCACTGTGAGGCGTTTCGACAATACAGGCCCCGCATCAAATGGGAGGATTTTCATTACACTGAAGGGAGAGAATTCATCCTCTGTCCACAATGTAATTGGACAAATTGGGGTTTCATCCAAGGGAGGTGAGAGATTCAGGAAAGTTCCTCTCGCCAATCCTCCCCCCGTCATTTACCCGGGGGTTTAAGCTTCCAGCCTCAGAGTTGCATCAAACACCAAAGGTTTGGCCGCGAAGAATGGGTCTCGCCATTCGTCTCCTTTCAAACGTTAAACTACTAAGAACTGCCATCGTTTCCAACATGGCTGCATTGTTACTTAGGCGGATGAGTGTTGAGGGGCTGAGCAGACTTTGTTCAGCTCCATCACATCTCTAGGCCCAGCAATAGTTACAATACAATATAACCACAATCAACTCCCTCCCCTCTTTCATTTTTTTTTCTTGAAGCCTCCCCCCACCCCCCCACCTCCCCCTTTCCCACCTCCCCCCTCCCCGCCCACCCCTGAAGGTGGTAAATGTTGTGATTTTGTTTTGCGATCCACTTGCTATCTCCCCAGTGGCTGTTTTTCAACCAGTCAGTGTCCTGTGTGAACCATTGAACCCCTAAACCCATCTCATTTGTTACCTAACACACACACACATAATTACGTGCGTACAACAACAAATCACATTTGCATAGAGCCTTTCACGTCGGGAGGACATCCCAAGGCGCTGGCATGCATGCATACACGTACACACATGTGTGTGTATATATACACACACACATGTCACGTGCCACATATACATGATCGTCTAAATCATCACAGAACCATATATCCCACATCAGACCAGGCTGCTGTGTACACAGCAAACCTGTTGACCCATTGGGGAGCTGGGATGTTAAGTGCGATGGTAGTTACTTTGTGCCAGTTTCCTGTGAAAGGCAATGGTGAGACTCACTCTTTGAGCTGTTTTTTTGAATCCATTCCATTCTGTTCCATGTTCCATTAACGTGCCATTCGATATTCCAAATGTCTCGCCCCAACCTTCTGCTGTTAAACAATCTCTGTGCATGCTAACACTCACCAATGCCTTTATTTTTTTTTATTCACCGCACCCTAGACCCAAGCTGGAAAAAAGGTATTACTGTGATGCTTAGATACGTCTCCGATTTACTCCAAGCGAGTTAGTTTAGTTACCTCTCCTGTTCATGGGTTCGGAATTGAAAGCACTTTCACTCCCTCTCCCACTCGGGAAAGTGAATGGCTAATGGGAGGATGTACACAAAGCACTCTCACTGGGGTATTGCGTGAGTAGCGGTCGATCTGTTTGGGGTTGCACTGCATTCGGGGAAGTGACGGGTTGTTGGAAAGAGCAGGGAATTAGGGACATCTCCATTGGGGGTGTGGGGGGGAGGGGGATATCAGCACCCGAGAGTCACAGAATGGTCCACACTGGTGTTTCCACCCTCCATGAACCGTCCATTCCGATCCCTTCAATGTTTCTTCCGTTCATTCTTGTGGAACATCCATATTTATTATCACGTCTCCGTCCCTCTCTTCTCTTCTCCCCCCACCCCGCCCTGGCCTTACCTCACTCCCACACACCCCCTCCTATGTGTTGTTGGCCATGCACACAAAGAGAGAGATGCTCTCTGGAGTTGAGATGTTTTAAGAGGATGAAAGGATTCGATAAGGTGAACGTTAATAATAATAAGCTTCCACTTGTTAGTGAGTCCATGGAGTGGGGGGTTGGGAGGGGTGGTGGTAACTGTAAGAGAGCCAGCAGCAGGAATGAAAGCGAGTTTTGGTGGGGGGAACAATATTCCATAGCTGATTTGGGGGAGCCTTTCGATAGCTCCGGTTGATAGCACCCTTTATTCCTGACATGCAAGAATGACCAAGGCTTTCTCTCTCGCTCTCTCTCACTCATTCTCTCTCTCTCTTGGAAGATGCAATGCCGACCTAATCGATCGCTACTCGTGTAATATTCTACTGCCCGTTCAGATTGTCAGGAAATAATCAATGGGCCACAGCGTTACCTGAAAAGCATGTGCAAAGCCCTCCCTCGGAAATGATCACAGTCTAAAATGGGTTGTGGGTGGTTGTAAGTGTTTGGGAGGGTGGGGGTGTTGGGGGTGTTGGGGGGGGGGGCGGAACCCACCCGGGTAGTGCATTTGCCGGCTTCCAAATGTCGGGGGGCTTCTAAACCAACATCAAGAGCAACGGTTTCCCCCCCCCCCACCACCAGTCCACCCCTAGCCCACCCAGCCCCCCACCCCCCGACATTTGTGATCATTCCAAACCTCCGCAACACATCGATGGGAGCTTCACATGCATGTTTCACCCCCCCCCCCCCCCCCCTACTTGTTGTCACATTGATGGGGTAAACAAAAAGCATGTGCAGTGGCCGTGCCTCAGTGTCCATTTCAGATGTTGGGAATGGTTTGGATTTCTGGGCGAAACTCAGGGGCAGAGAAACCCAACCTAATTGGAAAATCGGTGGGAAAAATTTCCAAACGTGTGGATTGGAAGGTGGTGAGTGTGTGTGTGTGTGTTTGGCGGGGGGGGGGGGGGAGTCATTTCCCTCCAATATTGATTGACTTGGCTCTATAAAGGTGGCGGTGGGGATTGGCGGGGAGGACTTCAGATTTATGGACAGAAATAATCCTTGTGGAGGAAAAAAATCGTTGGAAGCACAAAAGCAGAGGAAAATGGTGGCGATGGTGTTTGTGGATGAGGCGGGGTGGGGGTAAGGGGGGGAATAATTTGGGCATTTGTCCTCGTTGCCTCGTGCAGAGAGCGACATTGGCCAACACAAGAAATCCAAACCCTCCAACTCCCCTTTACTAATTAACCGCACATCCGGGACCTAATCGATGGAGCCCACTGAGCAGCCTCAACACAGGTTACCGTGCATGCTTCGCTTTCTAGGTGCAGATCGTGGTGGGGGGGCGGGGGGAGCGCAGTGGGGAAGGATGTAGGTGATGTGGTTCAAGGTCTCCCGAAATTCCACCCAGCCTTAACCTGCACGAACGTTTGGCGATTGTGCAAAATTGCAGAAGAAAATGCATCCAAATTCTGCCTGAACTTCAAGCCAAAACGGTCTGTCAGGCTGAGACTGGAGGGAATTGGCGGGTGGGGTGGGGGGTTATGGGGAGTTAGGGGAAAGGGGGGACAAATGAACGACCATGAAAATGTGCTGAGGTTTCATGTTGGCCGCTAGTTTAAATGTGTTTCTCTCAGGAATGAAGATAAGATCTTTGCGATCTTTTATCAAAGAGTTATTTTGCTTCGCGAACTTAAATCCATGTTCAATCTCTGCTTCCCACTCGGGGATCGGGAAAGCAAACCAGGGTTGGGATTCGATAAAAGACTGTATTGTGAGGGTTGGGTCGATCAGGTTAGGAAGGGAATCGTTTTACTATAGTTTGGGGAGGGGGGTTTAATATTTCTGTAGAAAATGTTCTGTCCTTGATTGGACTCCATTGACTCTGTTCTGTTGGGTGGTGATTTACAGGGATGAGTTTCCAATCCTTGAGAGTAAAGTTGGATTGAACATCATTCAGGGATTAGGGTTAATGTCATCCAATGACTCCAATTGAAATTGCCTTTCAAGCCCAATTTGTAGTGTCCTTCAATCGACACAAGACTAAAGGACAATCATTGATTGTGAGGTTCAATATCTGGGTCGTAACCAATGTCTTTCTTTCCTGTGTGTCTGTCCTATCCTGTCTCTGTGTCCGTCTTTTCTGTTTCTCATTCATTTTACCAATGGAATGCAGGTCTTTGGAAAGGTAAGACATTCAATTTCTCACATGCTCTTTGAACTGAGTCAGACTGAGACAGCCTGGCTCACTCGCTAGCACTCACTCCTCTGGGTCAGAAGGTTTTGGGTTCAAGCCCCACTTTGGGTCTTTGAGCTCACAGTCTAAGCTGACGCCCCAGTGCAGTGGTGGTGGGGCAGCGCTGTGTTGTGTGAGTGCCGTCCTTTGGGTGAGGCATCAAATCTGCCTGTTCAGGGGGTTGTTTAGATCTCACCACCCTATTGGAAAAAAGAAGGGAGTTTCTCCCGGTGTCCTGGCCAACAAACCCATGGATAAGAGTGGGCGTTCACAGAGATGTTGTTGTACGCAAACATGGCTGCCTCGTTCACCTAGAAATACAGTCACTACACTTGATAGCAAATCCCTGCAAAGCGCTTGGAGACGTGTCGACATTACAGACACTGTGTTAAACGCGAGGATTGTTATTAAGTCTAAGCGCTGCGAGACTTTGCCCTTCGTGAAGGGTGTTGCATAACCGCATAATCGTTGTTTTGTTGTTGTTGTGGTGTAACTGTTGCTTTTCGGTCACTGTTACGTTCAGCCCATTACAGCATCGAGTTCACTCAGTCTTTCCCAACCCATCTCCATCGTTTCATTTTGGGAGAGTGTGGAGCCGGCCAAGCGAGGGAAATCTTAGACACAGACGTGTAAGACATCTGTCTGAGCGGTAGCTTCAATCGAGAATTACAATAAAAAAAAGGTGGGGGAAGGGGGAAGGGCGGGGGATTCAGAAAAGTTAGACGGTAACACGAGTGAATTTGGTGAAAGATTTGAAGATGTTTTGACACGTGCCACAGCGGGGAATAATCCAGACAGAGAGACAATGAGACACTTATCCGTATCTTCTTCCCTATGACTTGTCCTGTTGTACGGCTGCACTATCCCTTGATTGGGGGATTGCCCTATAGAGTCTGACCCCCTGTTACAACACGATGCCTTTGGGTCCATGTCTGTGGGACACCGCTGTGGGCAATTGGTCCACAAGGTACACAGCCAATCCGCTTTACGGTATATACGGAAGGATTATTATTATTATTATCTCAAAACTGCTTTACAAGTGACTGTTTATTGGTAAAGAAAAACGTGAAGATTATTATTATTATTATTGTTATTTTTCTCCACCCCCCCCCCCCAATTAGCGACAACGACGACAGCAAAAAGCCTCAGGGCAGCCAGTCGTCCGTGGACGGGACGGTGAAGCAGGAGGAGAGCGACGACAGCCTGATCGTGTACGGTGACGGCGACGGGAACTCACGCTTCGGGGAAGACGGTTCCTTCATCGGTCAGTACACCGTCAGAAAAGACAAGGAGGAGACGGAGGGCAACGACAGCTCGGAAGCCACCTCGCCGGTCAACCCTGCCTACACCCTGGCGTAAATGTGATAGCCGGCGGGAAAGGGGGGGAATGGGGGCGAAAGAGAGAGAGAGAGAGTGAGAGAAAGAGAGAGAGTGAAATATGAGCCTGGAGCGAATGAGATGTGGTGCTACCTACGCAAACCGTAAATATATTGATATTCTACCGATAACTTCATCGGGCAGGGAAACCGCTAACGTTTAATTGTTACACTTGACCGAGCAGTGAAAGGGACAAGAGCTCTTGTGTCTGTCTGTGTGTGTGTGTGCGTGTGTGCGTGCGCGTGTACGGGGTGGGGGTATAGTGTTGAAGGCGGGGTTGGGGGGGAAGCAGAGGTGTCGTAGAATGCAGAGTGGTTTGGCAGGACGAGGCAGGGACGGGAGAGGAAATATAGCTCTTTGACATAAAGGAGTTGTGGGCAGCTCAGAGTTTACGTTAGCACAAGACTCCAGGATCAGCCAAAGCTGGGAATTTACTTATTTGTGTTTGATTGGAAACGTGAAGAAACTGCGGTTGCAACTCTCATCCGCTCGCCAACACCCACCCCACCTCCCCCCTCCCCCCACCCCCACCCCCCCTCGGCTTTGTTACCAGCCCTTAACGAACGATTCCCGCTCACTCTTGCCCTCCCGCCTTCCCGTCTTCAGCTATCGCCAAGCCTGAGCTGTGACCTTCTCCCTAGATCATCCCATCACATTCCCAGCCCACCACACGACCTACCAGCCCAGCCCAGCCCCACCCCACCCAGCCCGGCCCCACCCAGCCCCACCACACCCAGCCCAGCCCCATTTCACCCCCCCACACCCCAGCCCCACCTTCGGAAGGTTTGTTGTAAATGTGTGTTTTATCATGAAATAGATAATTTAAAGGGATACTTAAAAGGGAAGCTGAATGGGATCAAACCAAAGCCTTGACATGCAAAGTATCTGTACATGTACCGGTGGCATCTTTCATGCCTCCCTCCCATCTTTGAATCTTGTAAGACTTGCTGTTCAGAGAATGACGGGGGTCAGAATGGGGGTCAAACTCTCAACCCAACCCAACTGTAGTCATCATGGTCTGGGCAGGTCTTGACGTGGAGGCTCTGTGTTGGAGGGATCCCTATTGGGTGACATAAAGAATGGGGAATGCTGTGTGTACTTCCCACTAAGGGATGGGTTTCACCTTTTTTTCCCCTTCCTCTCCACCCCCTCCCCCGTCCACTCATACAACCCAACCACCATCCCAGATTCATCCCGAACCTGGGCCTGGCTCAGAGCCTTTGACTGTCAGGATTTCTCCTCTTCCTGAGACTGCCTCAAACCCAAATACATCATGGACACAAGAGCCGAGCAATAGGACAGATAGTTACTGCTGAACCATTAAGGTTCCTGTGGCCGTTCACATGGATAGACTTCACCTTCAGATCACTCCAGTACCTACACTCGCGCTCTCGCCATATCTAGAAATCGTTCTGGAAATCCAAAATGTAAAGATTATTATAATTATTATTATTGTTATTATTATTCTGCCCTAAGTTCTGACCGATTCACATATATTTTCAAAGCTCCAGACTCCAGTCCCCCCCAAACTCAGGCTAAAGAAAGAAATAACTTGCATTTTTGCCCACAAAACACACAGTCACTACAGTTTACAGTGTATCCTGTGAAGCGCTTTGAGACGTCTCGAAGAGGTGATAAGGCGCCGTATCAAATGCAAGGATTATTATTATTTTTAGGGCATCTTATCACGTGGAAACGTCTCAAAGCGCTTCACGGGTCATTGCTATCCAGAGAAGAGGTAGCGCGATAAGTTATCTCCTCACTTTGCCGACCACCCACAGCCTTTACTCTCAACCATAAACCTCTGCTCTTCGGATTGTGACCTAACTTAATCCCACCCTCACTCCCCCACCACCCCCCTTCCCCGCCCTTTGTAACTCTCTTCCCGCAACCTCCTTGCCTCACATTTTCTCTTCCTGCCTTAAAAACCCTCCTTAATAAGACGGCTCTCAGTGACTGTGCTTCCTGTGGTCAAGATTCTTAATTCTCACCTACCTGCTCCCTATTCGGGTCTTGCCTGCCATCCTCGAGAAGCTCTTGGAGACCTTGATCTTGTGTGACAGGGGCTATCGAGGTGCAGGTCCCTATAGGCCAAATAGAGTTCCATTCACACACCTCTTAATCCCACCCTCACCCCCCCCCCAACCCTCCACCCTGGACGGATGTCAACCTCCCGTTTTATCTCTGGAATCTCCCTGTCTGGGAGGGATGCATGGAATTCTCAGTTGGGTCCATAAACTCCTTTAAGCAGGGTGATGGGTTTCCGCTTGTGTCAGACACCCACCCGGCTTAACTGACCAAAACAAAAAACAGAGCACCGGATGGACTTCCTCAGCAAGAAAAAAAAATGCCCCCACCTCAAACCGGGAATTTACACACGCACGCAACTCCGGGTTTGGGAGCGAGTGAGTCAGACCCTCTGGTTGGCAAAACGTAAACATGGGCCAATCTATTTTTTTAAGAGAATCTTTAATCTTTGCGAGATGGGGGAACGCAAGGGTTTTGTCCCCCTAACCCCCCCACCAACTGTGCGTGTTTGTTTGCTTTTTTGAGGGGAGGGAGAAACAGGGGACAGAGGCAAGTCAAAGCCATGTATTATTTAAGTCACACTAGTATTGGAATGCCTCGTGCCTTCCTCAACCAGGGAGACAGAGAGAGAGAAGGGAAAGCGAGAGAGAACGGTATTTGTCTGTTGGAACAAATGATTAATAATTAACCTCTGATGCACGTATGTGTATGTGTATGTGTACGTTAGCGTGTGTGTGACTGATCCTGACGCTCGGACGTAAACTGTCTCTCCCCCCCCCCCCACCTCCACTCGTCCCCCACTTTCCCTCCCCATTTCCACTCCACCAAATCTTGCAACCTTTTCTAACACTCGATTGTTTACAGTAACCATGGCGATGTAAATAACACTTGCTTGATCCCCCCCCTCCTCCCCCCCACTCACTCCCCCCTCCCCTCCCCTCCCCCCCCACCCCCCGCCCCAATCCCGCCACCTCTTCTCAGGTTATGTTAAAAATACGCTGATTAGCAAACCTCACTATAGCCATACCCAGATGTGCAGATATGGGGGCCGTGTGGAGAGAGCGCTGACTGGGGGCTGAAGGTGTATCACGGGCTGATATATCACTTGGTCTCGGCCCATCGCGCCCTTTGTCTTACAACAACAACTTGCGTTTATAGCCCCCTTCACGCAGGGTTGCGTCTCTACAGGCCTGTGGCGGAGCCTGACGATGGTCTTAAGTTGTGATCTAAAAGTGGGGAAGGGAGTGGGGGGTGGGGGGCGGTGGGGGCAAGGTGAAGGGTTTGAGGGAGGGGTTGCCAAAGCTGCGGGGCGTAGCTTACAGTTCAGTTTGGGCAAGGGATGGTGGAATGTTCTCTCGCTTGACCTCAAGTTTCGAGGCTGGTTTTCTGCTGTTCTTAAAAAAAGAAACCGGCTTCGCAAATTAATAATTAATTCATTAAAAAAATTGGGGGGAATTTTCCGTATAATTCTGGGCCGCCTTAATTTCCAGGACAAAATAGGTGTGCAGGCTAAGACGAGGTGGAAGTTCGGGCATCGCTTGCGCGGAGAGAGCGGATTCCCCATCGCCAGGGCAGCCTGTCTTTCCAGATACAGCCCCTCACAATAATCAGCACCCACCTCTCCCCCCATCCCACCCTCCGCTCACTCTCAGTCCCTGCCTCTACTGTGGAAAGCGTCCAACTCGCGGCAGGCACAAGCACATGCCAGAACCCGACTGAGCTCAGAGAGAGAGAGAAAGACAGACGAGGAGGTTATTACTCGTGCTGGTTGCATTTCTGCACAGTTCATCTCTCATCGTAAGGCTCAGTGTTCCTTCCCCCTCCTCATCTCTCCCCACCTTAACCCACACTCAACCACACCCTTTGCTGCGTAAATTCTCTCCTCGGTACCCAGCCTGTATGATCAGTGTACTCTCCGTTCAATAGTTGTTCATAAGCAAAGAAAATACCTATAACCTGCAAATATTGTGTCGTATCGAAAATCCACTGTGTGGGGCTACTTAATTGACCGCTGTCTTGACGGGTACGTTACGTTAGTCAGTCTTTGTCTACCTTTTTACTAAGAAAAAAAAACTTTGTTAACTTACATCTCTGGTGCTTTTTCTTCGTGTCCGAACGGTTTCGACCGAGCGAGTGTTGGAGAATCCGGAGCTGTTAATTTGACTCCAAGACTCCAGACTGTCTCAATTGGTGAGGGGGGGCAGGTGGCCATTGCCTACTTCAAGTAGACCCAACTTTGGGTGACGTTTGGAGTGACACAAGAGGCTGTTGCAGTCTCTTGGTTCGAACCCACAGCGCAATGGTAACGGATCTAAAGAGGAGAGAGCGACAGTCATAAACAAGGGGGGCAGGAGGGGAGAAGAGACCATATAATAACTGCTCAGAACTTGCACTGTGCACACAGACGGCATCAACACGAAGGAGAATTAGTTTCTTTGTGCATTTGGTTTGCGACTAACCCGAACGCACGTCCCCCCCACCCCCCCGCTCCCAAATTCTTCCACCTCCAATTCATTGGGTATCGTGCAAGCAAGTGGCGTGGGGGTGAGGACACCTGCACTAAAATTCACAAACTCTCTCGTGTCCTAATTGTAGATATTGTTATATTACTCCTTGTGTAAGATATTCCTGTTGCTGAGAGACTGACACTCACCCACCAATCCCACCACCACCACTTCCGCCTCACACAGATGTGCACCTAAGAGGGAATAAATAACATTGGAGTAACATCAAGCGAGTTGAGGCTAATAAATTTCTGGTTTGTTCAAAGAAGCGACTGCATGGAAGGTCAAAATAGCCAAAACTGTTCCAATACTGTTTCCATTTGGGGGAAAAAAAACTGCAAAAGAAAACTGACTGTTTTTGTATAGAAACAAAACTAAACATCAAATAAAAACCATATTGTTCTTCAAAAACACACATTTCTTTTACAACGAGACTGCGTTGAATTTTATTTCAGCCGCTGCGTTGTGCTGTGCGTGAAGCGAGTACCTGGTGTCCTTCGCTTAGGGCCATGTCTCGGAGTGCTTCACGGTGCTGGGGGTCTGGACTTCGAGCAAATGGAGGGGTGGGGGGTTGGGGGGATGACTGTAGGTGCGGTTGAAGAGACATTGGTTTGTGAGTCTTCTTGGATCTTCACGGTCGAAGAATAGGTTTCAAGGCAGATGGAAGGCAGGTAAGGGGGGGTGTTCGGGGAGGGGGGCAGTGAGGAGGTGGGATTACCAGAGGTTAGAGGTGTAGAATATGAAGGCTTGGCCATTGATGGTGACTGAGAGGGGTGGGTGGGGTTGAGAATCCTCTCAAGCGTGCTCTGTAACGAGGAGCCTGAGGGACTGTTGGACAATAAACAACAACAACAAATGACATTGTAATAGCGTCTTTCACGTCAGGAGGACATGCCAGGGCTCTAACCAACATCTGCCCCCTTCTCTCTCTCTCTATCATTTCCAAAGTCCACCCTTGGTCAGTATGAGCGATGTCCAGGCAGGA